AGCTAATATTTTATTAATCTTACAGTCATAGAATCGAATTACCTTAAATTTATCGCTCACTTCATACATTTAAATCTTGAAAGTACTACATAGAAATGGTAATTGAATTCATTGATATGTCTCGTAATTGCCATCACTTGTCTAAATATTACGATAATTTTTTTTAGACTATAGTTGAGTTCATAAGTAATAATCAGTCGAGACTATATTTGATAACTCTTAAAACTAACAATCTGATAACGATGAAATGTAAAATTTCTGTAATATAATATTTAATAGAGCAAAATTTTAGTTTGTAGTTTTCGCTCTTATCTTTTACTATAACTTATTACAAAATATTACTGAAAATTGCTAATACTAATTTTTTTTACACAATTTTCAAAAATTTTATAGTGTTATTTGCAGATATGAATTTGCAAACATTTAGCAATTTAAATTTGAAAAGTGATCCTACAAGTGAAGCTGACTTACAAAAAAGTATTGCAAATTTATATTATGGCCGAAAAAGGCTTGCTGCTTTGATGGGTGAAAAGAAAAAGGTTTATTAAAGAGCTTTATTAAATATGCAATAAATGCATTGTGATTAAATCTATATCCTTTTTTTGCTCGAAATTTGCTCGTTTTATTACATTTTACTTTCTATCGCTATAAGTTTTTAAATTTAAGTTACATTTTAATTGCTTACTTAAACTTGGCAAGTAATAATTTTATTAAAGAATTTAGGTAAATAGTGGTTTTCACTTTTTATCACATTTATGCTTACTTTAAATTTGAACAGTTATGTGAGAGATTCAAAATTTCAGTGGCTGAATGCTCAGAGAAGAGCAAGTCTACTAATCCAACCATGCAAAATTGATGAACTAAATGTGATGTCAAAGTTCGTTTTTTAAGACTAATCTATCTTGTAATTATTTGACTTAAAAGGAAATAGAATTTCTTATTTAACACTTTTGAAAAGATAGTTTGCTTGTTTTGTCAGGTTTCCTTCATTACTGCATACTGTTGCAACTGCCCAATTATCTGAAGAACAACGTCAGGATCAGCTTAACTTAATTGAACAAATTATACAAGAGTATGTCATTTTTGTACGCTTTCACTTAAATTAAAGTTTCAAACTAAATTAAATAGCACTGTATTATTAAAAAGTGTCATCAGCCATAATTTTTCTTATGCGAATTTTTCATGCTTACTTGACATAGTCATCAATACTTTCTGTCTCCAAAGTATGACCTTCCTGTCTTCAAAGTTTGACCCAAGGTTCAATCTTACCTAAGACCCTTTCCAAAAAGAACTTCTTTTTTCATGAACAAAAATGTTCTGAAATAAAAATTTTCTGAAGCTACTTTGAAAGTGAAAGTCATTGA